ATTCCAAGTTATACCTGAAGCCCCATCCTGCTCTCTCCCTCCTCTGAGTTTCTGTATACACCCAGGTTGCCTGGCCAGGTCCTATAGATGGTCAGCTTTCAGGAAGACACTGCTTCCTCTATTACTCCCTCCTTAATTCTGGGTTAGGTGATCTTCCTGTGCGTCTGCAGCACCCTTTCATAACATCCTACATTATAGTTGCCTGTTTATCTGGTTGTCCCTCATTAGACTGGACACTTTTTGAGGACAGAGTCCTCTCAGCCTTATGACCACTGTGTCCTCAGTGTCCAGCATACTGCCTAGTACACAAACACCAGCTGAGTGAATGACTCAATAAATCAATGAACCCAATGCTGAGATAGATTTTAATAAGCTTTAATATTTTATATGATGCTTATGATTTTTAGTCATTTTTTGCATAAGAGAAAGATTATGTGGAATATGTGTTTGTGTGTGTAAGGCTATGAACAAGCTGAGTGTGTGAAGACACCAATGTCCCTGTTTTCTCAGAAAGTCCAAGGAAAGGGAAGGACAGCAAAGCAGCAGACCTAGTTTTGAGCTGTTCAGATGCTACATGTGCAAATAAGAGAGAATGATGCATGTAATGCTTCTAATATTGAAGACCCAGGAGAGTAATGTAGGGAACCCCAGCAGTGGACGATGGCAAGGGACTCCAGGCAATGTGTATGTGTGCATGAATGTATGTATGTTATTAGAGCAACTACTTATTATGTCAATATATGCAGATTACACGAGATGGTGGGAACTTGGAGAATTAGGATCACCACATCTAGACCAATGAATAAAGGGAAACAATCCTTTCTGGGAACCTCCACCTGCACAGTGGGAATTGACAATACCCTCCTGTTTCCTAGGCATTCCCCTCACTGAGCTGTTTCCCTTGTGAAACCCTCCTTAGCACCTATCACTGGTGCAGTCCATGGAACTTTAGAGGGTATAAGCACACTTAAGGTCCTGCCCTCAAATAACTAATAATCCAGCTAGCAAAGTGACATCTGGGAAATGGTAAACAAATTAAACAGGTAAAAAGATCCCAGGAAGTTAACAGGGTGACTTGTCTCTGTGGCCTGCAAGAGACAAGCCTTTCTGGGCTGAGAACTACCCCAAGCTCCAAAGGATAAGTAACATTTAGTCAAAATTATGACAATAAGGGAAGTCTTAAGTAGAGAAAGACTTCGAATTAAGATGCAGAAACAGTCAGTTTCTTCTGATGAGAGCAGAAGAACTTGCTAGACCTGCAAAGATGTTAGATAGAAAACAATTGCTATCCTTGACCCCTTAGCATCCAGGAAAGCTGCACTATCTTCTCAATGCTGAATCAGAACATAACATCTCTGAAGACCAGCCCTTATTCAAAGGCACAGAAAGAGCGTACATATATCAAAGTACCAAGAATTCTAGCAACTTCACATCTGATATGAATGAGAAACAGTAAGGCTTTCCAAGACTCGATTCAGACTCAATAAATAGGCATGCCTTATTTGGTGAAGGTGTTTTGATTACTTTCTCAAAAACACCCATTCCTAACATTCTCTGCTGTTGATTCCTGTACTGGATTGTATACTCCTCGAGCAGACCACAGCCTTGCTTTCAGTCCTCTCTGGCTCAGAAGTGGAGCTCATAGGAAGTCCCTCCACTGGGGTCAATCCACCAAGCCTCTTAAGCTCTGCTGCTTGTACTGCAGAGCACACCATGTCTGTGGCCTTCTTCAGAATGGAGAGATGCAGCTGGCATGCGGAAAAGATGAATGACACAAATCCAGCCAACTCATTATTGGGATTTCAAGGTTTCTCCATCTCAAGAAGGGACTCCCATCAGTGCGTGTGTGTGTGTGTGTGTGTTTTCCGGTCTAGAAGATATACTATGAAATCCAACGAGTTAACATTACCTACGACACTGGGTTCCTCTTATGGGAAGTCCCTGTTATAAAGTACCACTGGCTTATTCAGGATGACGTAGTAAAACGCCACTTTCCATAATAAGTTTAAACCATCATTAGGTGGTTTGGTGTGATACTGCTTCGATCACTGAAATGATGTCATTCGGGTAATATTTCAAAATAAAAATGAAACCTGGCCAAACTGGCAGAACTTGCTTTTATTTTATGATGGTTGAAGAATCAAAGAACCTGACGCTAACTGGCTGGATGTGGTGGACCTTTCCTGACTTCTGACAGTGAGTCAGCTCATTTTATTAACAAGTAAAAGCTAAGTAAATCATGAATCAATGCCCACAAAGCAGGAAAAAATGCCTGTTTCCCACTAAAAATCGCAAAGTGTGATAAACCTATTTCCGTTAAGCAAACTTCTGGAGTTTTTACTGGGGGATTTCCCAGGCAAACAGAGGCAAAGATATATAAACCAAAAGCGGAAGGTAAGCACATTTCCTCTTAGTGTTTTTAGGCTGGACACTAATGCAAACACAGTGAATGATTCAGGGCTGTTTCATGTCATCCTCCTCTCCGGACCTGATCCGGAGAGATAACCTTCCTTCCACACACTTGCCCATTCCAGGCGGGCTGGCACAGGGATGGGGCATACATCCTGTGGGAAGAGCAGAGCAGGAAGGCAAAGCCACAAAATGAAACGTCCTCTTCGTTCACCCAGTCATATATATAAAGAACCACCGCCTTCCCCTTCCTCTCCATTTTTCCTTCCCAGATTAGTTACATTATCAACCACTGTAACCAGTTCACATCCTCCGGCTTCTAAATCTGAATCTCTCAGCCAGGTCAAGGTTGCTGGTCTGTTAGCAGCAACAGCTACTCGTGTCTGCTTCATGCCATGTCATATGCTACGTGCTTTACCTGCTTTGGTTCATTTATTCCTAATCCCTATGAGGTGCAAACTGAGGTTCAGAAGAGCTAAGGGACACTACATCACCTATGTATATTCCTGCCAAAAACGTGTACATCTGTTAAGTAAGAAACAATCATACAAATACAGACTGTAAAACATGCTGCGAAAGAAATGTTCCAAGTTCTTAAAAAACTATCAATGTTATAAAAGATAATAATAATAATTTTTAAAAGCTGGGGAACCTCATTAGGTCCAAGAAGACCAAGAAGAAATGAGAATTGTGATCCTTGTTAGATCCTGGATCATAAAAAGGAGGAAAAAAACCCCTGCCTGTATAAAACATTATTCCCATAATTGAGGAAATCTGAATATTGATTGTATATTAGATAATAATACTATATCAATGCTAAGTTTCCTGAGTTTGATAATTATATTGTGATTATGTGGGAGAATGTCCTTCTTAGGAGATCTCTTCTGAAGTAATTAGGGTTAAATTAGCACAATGATGTTTGCAACAACCTCACAGATCATGCAGAAATAACAGGCAAACAAATGAACAAAAGGATCTGCCAAGTTAGAAAAGCAAAGACAAAAATAGATAGAGAGAAGGTAGCAAAATATTAACAGTGGGTGAATATGGGTATAGGGTGTATGGGTGTTCACTGTACTATTCTTGCAGTTTTTTTAATATGTTATAAATTTTCAAAATTGAAAAAAAACAATATAAAATAAAATGTTTTTTTTTTAAAAAACCAACCCAAGCATCTGGAGCATCTAAGGAACACATTCAAACCATAGGTAACTGTGGAAGCTGCATTCAGATATCAGGTTTTTGACTTGTTACTGTTGCTCCTGCTTCCATCAATAGCTAAAATCTTTTTCTACATTTATTCTTTTAATGACTGTGTACAAAAAGAAGATACGTGGATTTTTTTCCTCACATTCATGTAAAGAGTTGTTGTGACTACTAATAAGATGAGATGAAAAAGAGAAGATCTCACTGGATAGTTTCTTAGTTTTACCACTGTGAAAAATTAATAAACAGAAACCTCATTTAAAATGGAGTCAGGAGACTAGAAGAGAGAACTCACATGCACATGTCACTTAACCCACACTACTGACCCCAAAGAAGAGATGTACTTTGCATCTCCAGTGGGAAGTAATATTACTTTACTACCTTAGCTGGAAGAAGAAAAGATCCCTTCTTGCCCAGTAACAAGTCAGTCAATGGGGAGACTGCCATAACTCAACCAATGAAAAGTCACTATACTTTGAACTATCCTTTTCCTCCAATGGACTCTTCTTTACAAGAGCCTCTCCCAAGTGCATTAAGAGTACTCCTCTCCTTTATTTCTTTGGACTTGCACATGGTTTGCCATTAGCCTGAATGTCCTAAATTACAATTATTTCTTCTTCTGGAATAAACCTATTTTGCTGCAGACATAGTGGCTATTTGTTTAAAGTCAACACTACCTGTGGAGCATGATTCTCAGCAGAATGCAATGAGATGATGGAGAGCCCATGGCTAGTATCATTCAAAACCCTACCCCCTCCACCCTGTGGATGCCTGAGAGGAACATCTAGGTAACTCAAATCAAGGCAGATGATAAGTGGAGAGGAGACAAGAAGAGTGGCACGCTGTCCACATCATTGGAGGGCCAGGCAGTCCAAAGCGTCAAGGTTTCAAAATTTTCTCCCAGAAACTCTTTATGAGGGTGTTATCAACATAAAGTATTCAGCGAATAACGCCTTCCTTGTCACCCATATAGAATCCTGTGCCCTTTTATGCTATACTCTCAACCTAATAAGTGCTGACCTGTGTGCTGAAAGGCACCACCTTACATTTGAAAAGCATTTCCACTGGTAGGGACATTACCTTAAAATTGAGTCCCTGAAACAAGCTAAGGAAAGGTGGGAAAGACAGAAACATTCTGATGTGTTTTCCCAGCATCAGACACTTCAGTTGGCAGCCAATATCTTTTCATTTTTTCCCATGGAAAATAAAACAGACGAGATATTTGATCCACATGTTTTGTGTATGTACTTTTTAAAATGTCACCTTTGGGTAACTCAACCCACCAATGGATTATTAATAAAAATCAGCAACTGTCAAAGCCCTTCTCCGTGTGGAAGGAGGTCTGGCCGCAACACCTATTAGAAGAGAGAGACAGATGGCCTTACCTCTCAGCTCCCGCGTCCACAGCTGTGAGTGGAGGTAACTGGGAGGAGGGGTTGTGGGGGCTCCCCTGTACATTATGTCCCGGAGAAGGGTGTGGGGGTGGATGTGGGGGTGGCACAGCCCCAGCAGCTGTTCCGCTTCGGCTTGAATAATGGAAGCTGAAATCAAGGGAGAACAAGCATCAGACTGTGCCCCAAGTGAAGCTCACATTTTTTAAACGCCAAAGGCGGACAGCAAGCATATTTTAGGGGCTTGTTTTCCTCTTGGTGGTTTTCAGGGAACACTTCTCCTCTTATTGGAGATACACAGCATTGTTTTCACGGTGAAACAGGTTCCCCAGCTGATGCGCCTGTAGAGCTGCCTGAGGAGCTCATGCGAGGCTGGCTCCAGGCTGATGGTCACGGTTTCCCATAGCAGCGCCTTGCCCCACCAGCCTTCTGTCTGACACAGTATAATTAGTCAATCTTCTAATGTCTGCATCTGGGCGAAGGTCTCTACATTAACACCCTTCCATCAGGAGGGACGGGAGTCAGGTAGCAGAAGATCCGCTCTGCTGACCTATAAGGTTACAACAGGGGCCTTAGTCCACTCCTCATCACTGATGCCAGCACTGTGGGTCAGGCTGGGGTCTCTCTCTGTCATTGTTAAATCAATGTAACGAGAACGGAGCTTCCCCCGATCCTAGCACACACGCAGGACCCTGCACTCTTTTAACTTCAGAGTCTAACTGACCCCAGGCATTTCCCCGACCGTGTGATGGATGCATGTACTTGGTCTTCATGGAGGATGAGTCTCCTCCTAACACTGCAGAGTATGAAAAGGTGGTCTCACAGGCACCTCTGGGATCATCCCCCTTGTTGCCTATGATGACACAGAGAGTGAGTTACAGCCTCATTCATAGGGGCAGCCCAGCCTTTGAGAATGGTACATGACCTCTAATTTAAATGTGTGCCCATTTAGATGGGCTAATTGGTAGGATGTCACAAGAGAAGCTGGGCTTGTCACTTGCAGAGTCTGTCACTAGCAGAGAGGCTCTGGCAGTGTCTGGGACATACTCAGCAGACATCTCATTAGAGTGCCATCACACCAGCATCCCCACACGGACTCTCTTTAACTTCCTTCTCTGTACGGAGCTATGCTGAGCTTTATGCCCGACCCTGCTCTTTTTGAACGTACTCTACCGATATCAAAGAATAAATGGATTAAAAAAATAAATCAGGCTAAGGATCAAGACAAAGAAGCCACATAATCAAAGAGATTGGAAGGTTTAAAAGTTCAGGGAGCTGTATTTTTAGACCAGCACCACATTTCTCCAACCCCTTCTGGATAGAATTAATACCTCAGATGACCCAGCCCCCAAAAGCTTAATCCAATGGGATAAGAGTTCAAGGACTTAAAGGAACATGTGAAAAGGCAGAATTACCATCTTCCCGCTTAAAAAGCGACTGACAGGGGTGTGATCTGATTTGAAGGGTTTATTTCTGGTAAGTCAGCATTGTGTCAGGTTAACTCTTGTCCTCAGAAGCCTGCATCCTGCACGTCTTCAAGAAGTAGTGTGACCAGAAAATGCTTACTGGCTCAAAAAGGCCATGTGGAGTGTCTGCGGTGCATCCGCCTCCAGAAAAGTTGCATATTGGCAAACACGCTTCAGTCACCTCATGAATCACTGCCCTCATTTATGCTCATCTCGCACAGGCGACCACAGTTCTGCTTGTATTCCAAATAATAATTTTACCCAAGAGAGAAGGCTGTTGTTTGGATTCACTGTGGCAATAGTTTTAGGACTGGTGTTTGTCAGCATAGAGTGCGGTGTTTTATATACTATTCTAAAAACTAATGGAATAATAAGAGATCGCAGAGACACTGTGGAAACACAGCTAATTTTTTTTCTGCCTTCGTGTAGTAATGTGAGCGCTCTTATTTGTTTTGTTCCAATTGCTGAATGCATCCATCACTTACTATCCTCTGGAGGTGTTGTTGTTGTGTGTGTGTGTGTGTGTGTGTGTGTGTGTGTGTGTGTTTGTCACAAGGGAAGCACTGCCTCTGCTGCTTGTAACTCGATGGGCAACAGGGAAGCTTGGTGTGCACACTGTATGCTCTACTCCATGGTTTGATAGAAAATGGGTTGCTTCCCAGAGGTCTACTTTAGTATATTAGCTATGTTTTTGCTTTAGCTGCAATGAAATAGGCTGGGAAATTTGGTCGGGTTTTTTTTTTTTGCAGCTTGCTGTACATTATAAGCTAGGCCTGGTTAAGTACTTTTCCTTCATCCCACTTAATAGCTAGCACCAACCATCCATTATCCATCTATTTGTCATCCATTCATCCATCTATCCACCAAACATTATGTTTACAATTTATTTATTTAAATCCTCACCAAGGATATGTTGTTATTTATTTTTAGACAGAGAGAGGAAGGGCGAGAAAGATGGGGGAGAAAGAGAAGGAGATGAGAGAGAGAGAGAGAGAGAGAGAGAGAGAGAGAGAGAGAGAGAAACATGTATCAGTTGCCTCCTGCATGCACCCTGACCGGTGATCAAACATGCAATCTAGATATGTGCCCTGACCTGGAATCAAACCTGCAACCTTTTGGTGCATGGAATGATGCTCCAAACAGCTGAGCCACCAAGCCAGGGCCCAAACATTATTTTAAACTCAGTATGTATTAAGTGATACATGCTAGCTAATCTACTAGATGTGGGTCCTTGTCCTTGCAGAGGTTGCAGTTTAGTGAGGGAAAGAGACTTCTGTACATCAATTCTACCAAAATACAAGACTTACTAGTGCACAGCATCAAACAGTGTTCAAAGCACTTAACACATTATCTTATTTGTAGCCCCATAATGTGCCCCAAGCTCTGGTCAAACAAGAAAACTGACCACACCTCAAATATGTCATGACAATTTATGCTACTTGCGTTTGCTTAGAATGTTCTCTAACTTTGTTTACTTGTTTTAATACTTTTGTTCTGTGTGCAGAGTTACTTGTGTTCTTTTCATTCCTCTCTTAACAGCCAATTCATGAAGTAACTACTGTGTGGCAGACACTGAGCTAGGTCCTGGAACAAGGTATCCTTGGTGTCTAGTATCTCTAACAGCATCATTCATGTTGGTTTGTTGAACAAGCAAAAATGAGCACCATCTAAATACCAGACAATGCAGTCCATCTTGGGATTCAGTGAGTAGGACAAGGTCAGAAAGAAACAGTTACCTAATCCCCACTAGTCAAGGGATGCCCCAGGGTGCACTTCTCTCACACTTCCAAGTAGGCACATGAACCAGAGTGGCTAAACCTTCTCAGAGATACTCAATACCTGGGCATCAGAGAAGCTAGAGGGCAGAAAGCCAGAGGTACATGGTGTAGTTGAGGAGAGGAGCTACCAAGTAATACTGGTAGAGATGGTTGCCATAGCAACAAAATAGGTAGCATGGTGGAGAGGATACAAGGGTGGACATAAGAGGTATGTGGAACAAGGTCAAAGACTTCGAAACATGCTCTCCAGTTCTGCTGAGGTCAAGTGTTGACTGAGCAACAAACACACAACAACAGCTCTTCCATCCCCTGCTACAGCCAAGAAGTGGTACTGGGGCAGGCAGTGGCCCTTTGAATGCAGAAGAAAGAGAAAGGGAAGGCTTCAGGGTGCAATTTAAAGTCCTTATTTGGCAAGTATACCGGGCAATTTCTTACATAGGGCGTAAGTAATGATCTCTTGGCAAAATGAGGCCCATGACATGCTTCTATTTTCTACCAGGTAAGATGAGAAGTCTAGGACAAACTCTCTTCTGGTGAGGTGACTGAGCAGAAGCTTATAATTCAGTGTCTGCACAGAGTAGTTCGCATGCAGGGCCCAGGGTGAGACTGCTGGTTGTGATGTTGCCTATGACCGACATAATGACCAGAGAAATAACAGGAGACACAGCATGTCTTCCCAACGTATACTCCACCTCCATTTCACGTACCTTTTCAATAAGATGGACAAAACTCTGGAGTCAGAGAGCTGTAGCATAGGGAGGATCGCCCTGGGCCTCTACCAAAGACCCATATTTTTCAGAGATTTTCACTAGGGCACACACAGAAAACGCCTCTTTTATTAATACCGACTTCTAGGAATTTCCAACCATTTCACAGTCATACATCCAGGATTCCAACATACTTGATGCAGTCTAAGAATATCCATTCATTCATTCATTCATTCATTCAAACACAATCTTCCTGCCCCTACTCTGTACCAGGCAGGTGCTAGTCTCTCTTAACGTCCAGAGTCTGAATACCTGCCAACTCTACCTAGACCTGCCCACCACAACACACACTTCCAGACAAATGCTCTGGCTTTTTTAAGTGATTTTTTTAACCCCAGGGAGAAAACCTCCATGTTAGAGTGTTCTAAGGTCATTCACAAAAGAAAAAATTTCCTTCCATACACACTCAAAATGATTTCCAACCTCAACAATGGGGCATCTGAGGCCTACTGATCCAAGCATAAAGAAGAAAACAGATTCCTCCAGAATCCAGGGCAATATTAACAAAACTCCTGTGATCAAATCAACCGGCACACACAGGCTGCCCACAGGGCGGCCGTCATTGTCCGAGTCACCTCAGGGGTCAGCGCTGCATTCAGGGGTGGAAGAGGGCGTTTAGGTGACCCTCCAGACGGGGCTGGTGACTGGCAGCCGGAACAACGGATTAGGCATGGCAGAGGAACATACTGGAAAGTCTTATTGCTTTTGTGATTAAGAGATGGTGAACTCCCCAAGGAAATAAAAGCCTGGTCTTGAGATGAATGCATAGGCTAGCAGAGGATCGGGAGCTGGCCTCCCTGCTGTTTGGGGCTTTCTCTCTCTCTAGGGCCTGGCTTACTGCCCTCCCCAGCCCCACACTGTCTCCTGCAGAGGTAGGTGGAGGGGACCCAGTGGGGCTTTATAACATTGACAAAGCAGCATCTGCTGATCTATGGGGTACCCAGATTCCATGTGGCTGGTGATGGGGTCCAGGGTATTCTAGGCTGGCGCTTTAACTGGCTCAGGATAATTTGAGTTAATAGGCAGCTCTCTCTCTATCCAAATGAAAACAATTAATCTCTATTTCTGATGAGTACAGACAGGGTGCCCTTGGGGACACTTTAGCTGTCACGTATTCACTGTGTGAATGGAGGGAGAAAAGGTGTGTTATTTGCTACTCAAAATGAAACCTACTTCTCTAAGGCCTAAGCCCAGAGCCAGGGAAGGCCACCATAGACACTGCCTCATTTAGAGGCAGGGAAGACCTCCCTGGCCAGGCTGAGGTATATTAAAGAACAGCCAATTGGAGGGCATATTGCTGTGGAAAACTGTATGGATAGCTACAGCCCTGCTTCTCAAGCTTTAACGTGCCAACAAATCACCAGTGTAAAACACTGATTGTGGTTCACTGGGTCTTAGAGGCAGGGATGCTGAGATTCTGAGTTTGTATCAAACTCCCCAAGTTCCTGGCTATGTTGAGACTGCCAGTCCAGGGACTGCACTTTGAACAGTGAGTGCTGGACCACATCTGAGCTGGGTTTCACCTTCTTACTGTTCCATACCTCAGAGTCAACAGTGAACATTTTTTGAGCACTTTGCAAACCTTTCCCCAGTTTACTGACAAAGAACGTGAGACCTAACTGGGTTACTGAGTAGGTCACCTGATTAGGTTACCTAAGTTAGTGGGCTAGAATTCAAACCCAGGAAGCCTGATTTCAGATCACAGGCCCCTCACCGCCATACCATAATGCCTCTCAAACTCAGGATGAATTCAAGAAAAGGCATAAGAGCATTGCTATTGTATCAGAACCCCTAGGTGCTCCATTTGCCAAGGCTGCTTGGAGTCACTTGGCACTCTTCCCCCACCATGGATAGCTTTCTCCACCAAAGTGCTGGTTCGGATGCAAGAAGTATATTCCCATTTCTGTTTTACCCATCCTCAAGCACCTCAGTGACCTCAGCATGGATGAGAGATTTGCCAGTGTTGCAAATGCTTTCAGGCAAGAAATTAAATGAATTATTTGGTTTGGAAAACAAACAGCTGGTAGGAAATGTGTATTTTTTCCCAAATAAAGATTTCAGATGCTTGTCAGAGGCCTATCGATCCACTGGTAGGAAAGATGGCAGGCAAAGAGGGGTAATTTGTGAGCAATCAGATATACGTCCTTGTTACCACAAGCGAGTACAATGTTGCTGCCTGCAAGGCCACCACCTCTGTCAATAATGCATGAAGAGATTTGCTGGGCAGGTCTGCTGCTACTGAGCTGCTACAGTAAATATGCATTTGGAGTCATTTGTAATTACGTAAAAGCCATGGTGCTGCTCTAACGCTGGGACCTTGAGAAATGACATTTAATGCTTGGTGGCTAGTACACAGGGAGAGGTATGGGCTCACCGTTCATTTCCTGGGCAATATTTCCAGGGTCAGGGCACAGAAGAGTAAGCTAATCCATGACACCAGGCTAGTTGACTTTCACAGATATAGTAAAAAGAATTACAGGCCCCATTCAAACGATGAGTTCAATCTTGTCTGCCTCTTCCCCCCATTCTCCCAGGAGAAATGTGAACCTGGGAA